GAAGGACCGAGTCAGGCGGCGGCAGGGACAACTGCGGCTGCGGGTAGAAAAACAATCGGCACGGGGCAGTACCAGCAGCTCCAGCTCCTCCAGCACCAGCAGCACCACCACCTCGAGCACCAGCTGCACCACGAGCTCCGGCAGCGCCAGCACCTCTAGCACCAGCAATACCTCCAGCACCTCCAGTGCTAGCAGCTCCAGTAGCACCTCCAGCACCTCCAGCACCAGCAGCACCACCTGCTCCGGCAGCTCCATCACCTCTAGTAGGAGCACCTCCAGGACCAGCAGCTCCATCACCTCCAGTACCTCCAGTACCTCCGCTCCAGCGCCTCCAGGACCAGCAGTACCTCCAGCACCTCTAGTGCCAGCAGCTCCAGTAGCACCCCCAGCACCTCCAGCACAAGCAGCACCACCTGCTCCGGCAGCTGCAGCACCTCCAGTACGAGCACCTCAAGGACCAGCAGCTCCAGCACCTCTAGTACCTCCAGCTCCAGTGCCTCCATCACCAGCAGCACCAGCACCTCCAGTGCCAGCAGCTCCAGTAGCACCTCTGGCACTAGCAGCACCACCAGCTCCGGCATCTCCAGTACCTCTTGTACGAGCACCTCCAGGACCAGCAGCTCCCGCAGCTTCAGCAACAGTAGCACCAGCACCTCAAGTGCCAGCAGCTCCAGTACCCCCAGCACCTCGAGCACTAACAGCACCACCAGCTCCGACAGCTCCAGCACCTCCAGTACGAGCACCTCCATGACCAGCAGCTCTAGCACCTCCAGTACCTCCAGCTCCAGCGCCTCTAGCACCAGCAGTACCTCCATCACCTCCAGCACCAGCTGTACCTCCAGGACTAGTAGGTCCAGCACCTCCAGCACCAGTAGCACCTCTAGGACTAGTAGCTCCGGCACCTCCAGCACCAGCAGCACCTCTAGTACCTCCAGCACCAGCAGCACCTCCAGCACCTCCAGCAGTACCTCCAGTACCTTCAGCACCAGCAGTACCTCCAGGACTAGCAGCTCCAGCACCAGCAGGACCGTACCCTCCACCACCAGGATTGCCTCGCCGAACGATCCACGCACGAATTACCTGCATCGAGAGCGTCTCAAGTGGATCAGGCTGCTGTGGCTGTCCAGCTCCAGGACCTCCAGCAGGGTCACCTACAGCTCCACCGCCACTAGGACTCGCAGTACCCCCAGAGTCAGCACCCCCAGTCGCAGCACCCCAAGAACCAGCACCCCCAATCGCAGCACCCCCAGAACCAGCACCCCCAGTCGCAGCAACCCCAGAACCCTCACCCTCTGTCTCAGCACCCCCAGGCGCAGCACTAGCAGCCTCAGCTCCATAGTCCACAGCAGCAGACTGCGGAGGCGGCGAAGACGGCCGAGGCAGAAAACCAGGGGGGGTCTCCAAGCGTGGAGAGCGGCGAGTGGCCGCCGTGTCGTCAGCGGCGGGGTCACCCCCCTCAGCTGGGCCAGAGGAGTCAGAAGAGACTCCAAAGGCTCAACCAAGGGGGGTGCGTCTACTTGAGACACACCTGAGGGAGCACGACCCTGTGGGGGGAGGGGGTCTACCAGGGGGGGACTGGTACCAAGAAAACAGGCGCTAGGGGGACCGGGTGGGACGCATGCGGGTGTAGCCTGTAGAAACAGACATACTCGCGAAAGGTGACGTCCTGGGAGGAGAAGGCTCGACACGAGCGCGGGTGGTAGAACTGCTACGGCGGGGCATCGGTGGGGAAGCCAAGAAAGACGCAGCGGAGAGTGCGAGAGGAGAGCTTGCTCGCTTTGGCATCGCGAACAAGGGAGAGCGCGCCCCAGACCCGAAACACCGACGCATCGCCAACCTTCCCCGTCCACCGGAGTGTGGGCGAGGTCCCTGGCTCAGAGACACAGGGCCAGAGGTTGAGTTGATGCGTTGCGTATCGGACCGCAAACGGCCACAGAAAATGGGGAGCAGCCGCATGCATCATGGAGGTGCGAGCAACCTCCATGATCAAGCCAATGCGACGCTCAGCAATCCCATTTTGCTGAGGAGAGGCCGGAAGCGTGAACGATTGGCAGATGCCCTCGTCTCGACAGAAATCCGCAAGGAGGTCAGAAGAGAACTCACCGCCCCTGTCAGAGTGCAGACACAGGACTGGGAAGTCCCGACGAAACCGCTCGCGCAGCTGGCGACGAGTAGCACGGATCCAGGGGATCAACACACCGCTGACGTCCGCCTTGCGCCGCAAGGGGAAGATAGTGGTGTAGTGTGTGTAGTTGTCAACAACCAACAGGAAGTAGCGCTCCTGGTCCGTCCCACCGACGGGGGCCGAGCCCCAAACGTCCATATGGAGAGTCTGCAGAGGAGCAGTGGTCGGAGGAAACTCGGAGGAGTGAGGAGCGGCGCGCTGCCGCCCCTCGACGCAAGAAAGGCACGGCGGGGCAGGCGAGCGCGGGAGGGAGGGCAGGGACCTGGGAAGGCCAGAGACAAGGAGACGAGAGTGCATGGTATGAAGACGCGGCAGCGAGGGGTGACCTAGCCGGTGGTGCCAGAGGAGAGTCTGGTGAGAGAGTACCCGACACGAGAAAGACGCTGCAAGCTGACTAGACGCAGACACCCGACTCGACGCAGCCACCTGACCTGACTCAGCCACCTGTGCAGACGCAGTGGTCAAGGTGTACAGACCGGACCCAGGCTGACGAGTGAACGTAGCAAGGTGACGGCCAGTCCGTGAGCACTTACAGATCGCCACACGCTGTCCTCTAGGAATGAAGGTGTCAACCCATTCATCCTGGAGAACTGCGTTGCTCAACAAGTTCGTCGAGAACGCGGGGAGATGGAGACCTGAGAGAGACCCGGAGGGGAATGCCAGACACGGGAGGACAGTGGAGGCTCGTGCAACTACCGGGCCCCCTGTGGGGTCAGCCAGTGAGACTGGGGCAGGTGCTGCGAGTGGTGTGGCTGTGGTGCAATCACGAAAGAAGCAACGTGACGCGCCTGAGTCAAGCGTGAAAGTGTGCAAGGCCTCAGTTGAGGTAGGACATGTGGCAGTAGACGCATTAGCACCTAGAGCGTCGGCAGACTCACGAGCACCTAGAGCTGCAGCTGACTCACCAACACCTGGAGCGACAGCAGACTCACTAGAACCGAGAGCAGCAGCCTCTACACGACCAGGGACGCATCGCTGAGAAGCACAGTCGCGAGGTCGCTGAGGTCACATAAAACCAAAACCTCCACCACCAGGACTACCAAAACCAGAGCGCGACGCGCGGGCTGCAGCAGGACGCGACGCGCAGGGCAGCAGGGCGCGACGTGCAGGCTGCAGCAGGGCGTGACGCGCGGAGCAGCAGAGCGCGACGCGCGGGCTGCAGCAGGGCGCGACGCGCAGGGCAGTAGGGCGCGAACCCTGCAGACGCAACCCTGCAGACGGGGCGCGCTGGGGCAGGAGCTGCTTGCGGGCAGAAGGGGCACGCAGGGCAGGGGCTGCTCGCGGGCAGCAGGGGCGCTCGGGGCAGGGGCTGCTCGCAAGCAGCAGGGGCGTGCGGGGCAGGGGCTGCTCTCGGGCAGCAGGGGCGCGCGTGACAGTAGGGCAGCGCTCTAGGGCAGGCAGTGCGAGTAGCTGCAGGGCAGCGTGACACTGTGCGAGAGGGCCGGACAACGCAAGGGCGCTTCGGGCAGGAACTAGCAAAACGATCAGTGGGCCCTAAAAACTTAACAGGTTTCCTGCTTTGAATACCATGTCAGAATAACTGTGCAGGAATGAATGAACTATGAATGAGTTGGGTACAAGTACTAACCCTAAAGTGTTGTACCCCTTGTAGGCTAACCCACTATAGCCTAGAGAGAACACAAAGATACAGTTTGACACCACCAAGCTACCAGCATCCTTCGCCTTCCATGTAGAGCCAGCTAAAGTTGTTCGCCTGCTAGGAGCCTGCTCCAACCCTTGCCGCATGTAAGCGGATGTGCTCCAGTCGCTACGCGGCAGCCGCTGCACTGACCCGATAAGAGGCGGAACGCCCTGCCTCTTATCAGGCGAACTTCTTATCAGACTCGCGGCGTCACACTGAAATTCCCCTAAACCCTAAACACTTCATGCATTTCATCAGGCAAGTCATACAAGAGGTTCGCCTGATAAGACGCGTAGGAACATGCCCCTAGTTTCGTCTGTATGCCTACTCTAAATCCTGTTTTTCTTTACGACCTTCATGTTCCCAATGACCTACGTTATAAACCATGGATTGTTTCTACATTTCTTGCCTTGTCAGGCATGCTCAATACCGTCTCAATATACAAGAGGTGTTTGGTGCACAACAGCAACACACCCATATGGGAAAGTGCATACATTTGATATCAGAAGCAACTCACTTCTGCAAGATGCAGACAGACACCGTCTAATCTAAATGGAAGCGTTATACATGGAGAGTGTACACGCCTTAAGAAAAGTAATGGTGCACTCCAAAGAATCGAGAATCACTGCTTCTTGCAGCAAACCAGCCGTGCCCCTGCTGCTGCCACCAACACAGGCACCGTTACTGTCACAATCGGGTGCTGTGGAAACAGCTGCAAAAGAGCTTGATGCTTCAGCTGCTTCCTCAGCTGCTGCTACTTCTGCTGCATCGGCACATGTAGAATCCGAACTTGTGGTTCCGCTCGGGAGTGGTCCTATGGACTGGCATGGTGGCAGCACAGCCAGCAGCTCAGCCCTGGAAAAAATGCCGGTGCAGACGCCGATAGGCTTGGCACCGCCGAACCTGGCAGCTATGATGTCGTTTGGCTGGGAGAAGAACGAGGAACAAGAGGAGTATATGTAGGAGTGAAGAGGGGAAGGAGGGGAGCGTGGACATTTCGAGTCGACTCAAAAGCCTGGTGGTGCAGAAACGTTGAGGCGCGTGTTACAATGACAGCAGGGAGTGGGAGGAGAGGCGATAGCTGGGCTGAATTCGCAGTGTCCTAAACACGAGCATGCGTCATGCATATCCCGCCACGTCCCGAACATGCCATGCCAACTGGCGCATGTTGCTTTATGCATATCTTACTGTGTCCCCGACATGTGCATGCAGGCGAAAGGGTGGCCCCGCAATTCTCTCCTCTGCTCGCTGCCTTGCTATCCGAACCAGCTCTCCCCGATCCATGTGGTCGCTCCCGAACCTGGGCAGGGAGATATAGGCTGAGTTAGAATATGCGAAGACAGGTGAAACGGGGACGCCGTTGCAGCTATTTCTAACGGGATTGTGGGGGCAGGCACACAAACACCGCCTCTGTTTCAGCATGGCTGCTGCGATGGAAAGCCGGTGCGATGGCATTTCCATGCTATGCTATACCAGGATACCAGGCGCCTCATTCCTCATCCTCACCCTCCAATGCGTGGCGCGGTGAAGAGCGAAGCCACCTCCAGCCCTGCCATCTTGAGCCATGCTATCGCCTCCAGGTTGCCCGTCACCTGCCACATGCGTTGGGAAAACGCTGCAGTATTCATCTCCGAGACAGCAGTTACTGGCACCTAAAAGGTGTTCTTCAAGCCTCCATCTTGAGCCATGCTATCGGCTCCAGATTGCCCGTCACCTGGCACATGCAGCAGGTTATAGAGGTAGGGAAACATAATGCATCATTCATCTTCATAAACCAATTGCTGGAACCCAAAAGGTGCTCCAGCCATTCTATCTTGCTCCATGCTATGGGCTCCAGACTGCCCCTCACCTGCATACCATACCACCCATCACACCACATCACACGACACCACACCACATCACACCACGTCACCCAACTACTGCCCAACTACTGCCCATATGCAGGCATGCAATGCAGCAGTACATGACACGACATGGCATGGCAGTGTTTCTTGTCAGATCTTGTCGGCAAGAACAACGGGACAACAATAGCGATCCCAGGGCAACAGCAACGAGCACTCACCATTCCAATCACCGCACTGAACCGCACTCTCACCTGTCCCACTACCCCACTGAACCGCACTCTCACCTGTCCCACTACCCCACTGAACCGTCAGCTGCATCCTCCGCATGGTTCTGGCAGTACTGCAGCATGGCTTCACATAGCGCTGGCAGTACTGCAGCATGGCTTCACATAGCGCTGGCAGTACTGCAGCATGGCTTCACATAGCGCTGGCAGTACTGCAGCATGGCTTCACATAGCGCTGGCAGTACTGCAGCATGGCTTCACATAGCGCTGGCAGTACTGCAGCATGGCTTCACATAGCGCTGGCAGTACTGCAGCATGGCTTCACATAGCGCTGGCAGTACTGCAGCATGGCTTCACATAGCGCTGGCAGTACTGCAGCATGGCTTCACATAGCGCTGGCAGTACTGCAGCATGGCTTCACATAGCGCTGGCAGTACTGCAGCATGGCTTCACATAGCGCTGGCAGCTGGGGCTAGCTTATCTGCGGGTGATGTGACAGTGAAGAGGGGGCAAGGAGGGGGAAACAACGGGACGCACAGGGCACACTATGCGAAATGCAGCGCAGAGCAAGGAGCAACGGTCAGTGAGTCCCCGGCATGCTGCTGGCAGTACTGTAGAAAGACGTTGCAAAGCGCTGGCAATGTGGGCCCGCTGATCTGCTGGGTATGGCAGTGACGGGGCAGCGAGCGAGGACGTGAACAAAGCAGAAGTCTGCAAAATCAGAGTCATGAACGCCCATGAACACTACCATGTAGATGCCTCGTATGAGGCGTGCATGTCCAGGAAAGCTGATTACGCTTCCTTCTCCACCCTCTCCATCCTCCCCCCCCTCTTCCTCCCTCTCCCCCTCTCTCCCCCGTCCCCTCCCTCCCCGCCCCTCCCCCTCCCCCCCCCCCCCAAATGTGTCGCACTCACGTGTCTGGGAATGCCGTAGAACTCGAGCGTGTTGATCAGCACTGCCTGGTCCGTGCTGCCGTGGTGCTGCCGGGGGAGGGGGGGAGGGTTCAACAGAGAAAGGGGGGCGGGGGGGAAGAGGGGAAGGAGGGATTGGGGGAGGGAAATGTGGTGCTCAAGGGGGGATGGAAAATCGAGGGGCTGTAGAACCGGAGCGTGTTGATCAGCACTGCCTGGTCCGTGCTGCCGTGGTGCTGCCGGGGTGTGTGGGGGAGAGGGGGGATGTGGTGGGGGGGAGTTTGAGAAGTAATGGGGGACAAAAAGGGGAAAGGAGAGATAAGGGGTAGGGAAAAGTAGTGCTGACTGAGGGGTGGGTTGAGGGGGGAAAGGGTGGGAACGGGGGGAGAGGAAAGATTGCGGGAAGGAAAAAGTGTTGCTGAAAAGGGGGAGGTGGGTGAGAGGGAAAGACGGAAATACGGGAAGGTGAAGAAGTCAGGGAAGGGAAAGATCGGGGGAAGGAAAAAGTGGCGCTGCTGAATGGGGAAGGGGAGCGTAAGGGAAGGGGAGAGTGGGGGAACGGGAGAGTGGGGGAAGGGAAGAGTGGGTGACGGGGAGAGTGGGGGAGGGGGAAATTGGGAAACGGTAGAATCTGGGACCGAATTGCGTCAACGATGCATTGGATCGTACCTGAATCGCGTCTATGGTGCCTTGGATGCCGAACACCTTCTTCATCGCATGCGCGAACGCGCGCTTATGTAATTTATTGGATTCAGAGCCGACGGAGTGGATCAGCGTGCCGTCCACGTCGAACGTGATCAGCACCCGCCAATCAGCGGGTTCTGCCACGTCAGCCGTCTGCGCCACGTCAGCGCTCATGGTTATCTGATTGCGGGAGCGCGGAAAACGGCGAATGAGTAGGCAGCGTGGTCGATTGCACTGCGAAAGGACGTTGCGAGAAGCAGCGGGATTTGCGGAACGGAATTCGCAGGAATACTGCGCGAACGGAGCAGTACGCCCGATGGGAATGGCAGAGCGAGCGATCGGGTAATGATTGGGAAGCGACAGGCCGACCGGATCGAAACGCATTGAGGCTGAAGCCGGAAAGACCTGCCTAGGAGTGTTGATGACTGACAGAACAAGAACGCTGGTGCAGGGTAGACGTATTGGCGAACGGATCTCACATGAACACCAACCTCACTAGGTCAAGTTCGGTTGCATAGTTGTTTTTGCGATTTAATACGTAATGTGTATATTCCAAGCGGTTGAGTGAGGTGGAAGACGAGCAAGATTTCGGTGTGGGAGTGAACCCCTAAAACTGTTGAGCGGCCATCCCCTTTGAGAACTGTCTCGATAGATGATGAGTTCAGACAAAAGTGGAAGTGTATGTGTTGGGGCAATGTCGATGAGATGTAATCTGTGCGTTGTCGTTCGCGATTGCCGAAATGAGTGTCGGTTCATGCCACGAAACGTTTTCGTTGAGGTGGAGGCTGGTTACTCTTGCTTCGCAAGGTAACGGGGAAAGGGGGAGTGTGGAAGAACCTCCTTTCAAAAATGTTCAGTCAGTCAGTCGAGCTGACCAGGGAAGACGTTTTCCGTTTGCAAGTCCGTTCCATTTCCCAAATGGTCACCCACCCTGATACTGTAGACCATCCCATCCAAGCCAGGCACACCTGTTGTCCCATCATGACCACCGTCCGTCTGCTCTCGTGCATTCATCAATCATTCCGCGACTCCCTCTCGTCTTCTGACAGGTAGCGCTGCTCATGGCGACGCGGCGGATGTCGTATCCGCTCGACGCTTACAGTGCACCTCTTTTCCTCGAACCGCCTCCGCAAAGTACGCTCTGGGAGTGACCACTCTTAGAAAGTAGATTGTAACATAATTGGGGTATTCGCTGGTTCGCTTGAGCGGCAGTTGTAGAATATGCTGGTTCTCAGATAAGGTAATCCGGTCATACTGGTTGTCCGCTCATTTGGTCGCTAGGTCGCTGGAACTACACCAGGATAACTCGCATTCACGAGCAACTGACGGTCGCGAAACCGCGTGTGGTCCGTCGCGTTGCCTGGTTTCCATTTCGCTATAAACGTCCGTTACGAATTCGCGTGCGTATAAACCATTTCCACTGCATAGACTATATTGAAGACTCTGTTCGCAGCAACGATAGAAGATGTCGTACCCGGGCCGCCATAGCTCAGATCGAGGCGAATCGGCAGGCAATCCGGCCGATGCGCACAGCAGTAGCTGGACCAATGGCGCGGGATCCGCTGGCCTGCCACGTGTACGGACACGTGGCAGCCCGGCGCTTGCTGCAACACCGGGCAAATCGTTATCCGCGAACGACCACGTGGCTGCACTCCCATCGTCCCCAGGAGCGGATCCCCCTTATAAGAACACCGACGTCGCATATAAAATCGCAGATTCGAATGCTCCGCCGGCTGATCCCCCCTCTAAAAATAGCTCTGACCTACCCACTCGCGCTCATACTATGAACGACGCTCTTACCTCCTCTGCTTCTACTCTCCACGCCTCTACCCTATCCTCTTCTGTTCACGCGTCATCCGCGAATCACGTGCATGCCGTCCAATCCGCGCCGGACAGCCTCCCCTTGGAATCCGGAAAATCTGGGAAGCCACGTAGGCCCATCCCGGGGCAAATGACGCCTCTCGCGGCGCTCCTGGGATCGCCGCAAACCGCGGGGATCGCGCTCTCGGGCCCCGACGCGTCGCCTCCCCCCATGCTGCTCCCTTCCCCGCCCGTTTCCCCCGTCGGAAACAGCTACGCGGGGGACGGGGAAGCCTCCGCGTTTCCCCCCGCCGACTCTGCCACCTCCGCGGGGGCGGGAAGAAGGGTTCCCCGCCGCGCGGGGTCGTGGCGGGTTTCTGAGAGCGCGGGGCGGGCGGACGGGGTGGGCGGAAGCGGAGGGGACTCCCCGCACGGGGTGGCGGAAGGGGAAGCGGGGGAAGCGGGAGGGGCGGGGGAGGGGGGGTGTTTCTACGAGTCGGTGCGCGTGCCGCGTGACGTGGTGCGCGTGTGGCAGGACTGCTGGCGTGGCGCGTGGCAGGCTGACGTGGAGATCCGATCCGCCGTGGATGGCGGCCTGGTGCTCGCGCAGGGCGCCGTGCTGGTGAGATAGATTGTTAGTAGGCTCCTTGCTGGGTATTTTTTAGGATTCTCAAAAATGGCATTTTTGAGATTTTTAGGATTCTCAAAAATTTCCCGCAGGGCGCCGTGCTGGTGAGATGATTAATAGCTTTCTTGCTGGTTAGGCAGTTAGTACGCTTGCTGTGGGGTAGTTGATATGCTTCTTGCTGGTAGTCAATAGGCGTCTTGCTAGTGGGTGCTGGTGAGATAGCTAGTAGACTCGTTGCAAGAGACCTACCCATTCCCCTTGCTCTCTCTTCTCCCTCCCTCTCCTCCTCCTTCCCTCTCCCCCTTGCTCCCTTCCCTCCCCCTTGCTCCCTTCCCTCCCCCTTGCCCCACCCCAGGCGGCCCACTCCCAGGGGAGCGCATGTTGGCAGGCGCCATGCTGCAGCAGGCGCGAGCACTCTTCAACCACGCCCTCCCTTCCGCCCTCTCCAACTCTCCCGTTCCCCCAACCTCCCCCAACCTCCCCCAACCTCTCCCAATCTTTCCCCCGTACCTCAGGCGGCCCACTCGCAGGGCCTGGAGCGCATGCTGGCAGGAGCCATGCTGCAGCAGGCGCGCCCCCCGTGGGTGATAGTGCTGAGGGGGGTCCCAGTGGAGGCCATAAGAGGCGTCGTGCAGGCACTATACTGTGGCACGTGAGTCTGATCTGTGCCTTCTCTGTTATGCGCCTCTCAGTAAGGTAGGTAAGGGGAGAGACAGCGGGTCCCCATGGGTGACAGTGCTGAGGGGAGTGCCGGTGTAGGATATACGAGGGGTTGTGCAAGCGCTCTACTGTGGCACGTGAGTCTGTGTGTCTTGGCTTGTGGTTCTCCTCTTAGTGAAAGGAGAAAAAGCAGATGGGGAGAGGGAGAGCAGGTTTCAGTGGGTGATAGTGTGAGGGGAGTGCCGGTGGAGGCAATAAGAGGGGTTGCGCAAGCTCTCTATTGTGGCATGTGAGTTTTTGCCTTTGCTTTGTGATTCTCCTCTTAGTCATGGAAGGGGGGAAGGGAAAGAGAGCAGGTGCCAGTGGGTGTTAGTGCTGAGGGGGGTCACGGCGGACGTTGTCAGATCAGGGGGGGTGTCCAGGCGCCCATTCCCTCCCAACCCCCCTCCTCAAATCCCTCCGCCTTGAAACCCTCTTTCCCGCCTCCTCTTGGTTACCCCCTTCTTGTTTTCCCCCGTTTCAGCCCCCTCTCCTTCCCCCTCTTTGCCCCCTCTTCCGACCCGATTTACCACCTCCCGATTGCTCTACACCACGCAATGCATGCTTCTTTTCCCTCTCCCCCCTCCTATTCTTCCCACCTCCCGTCTCGATCGACCCTTCAATAAACGGCAGCATGGTCGATGCTCTCCACTGATGGATCGAAAACATCTTCCATCTGCTCCTCATCTCCCCATGCTCCTCCTGTCTTTCCCCTCCCCACTCCCCCCTCCCTTCCTTTAATGAACCAACCAGCATGGACGATGGGTTGATGGATCGGCACATTTTCCACCTCCTCCTCCTCGCGCACTCCCTCCCCATTCCCCTGCTCAAGTCCCTCTGCCTCGAGGCCCTGCGCTCCCGCCTCCTCTCCCCCGCCAACGCCGTCGACACGCTTGTCCTCGCGCGATTGGTCGGCTCGCGCGCGCTGCAGGCGCTGACTCAGCAGTACATCGTGCGGCACCACGCTGACGTGGCGCTGACAGACGCGTGGGCCATGCTGAGTCAGGAGTACCCGGACGTTAAAGGGATGCTTGTGGGGATGGTGGAAGCGAGGAAGAAAGTGAGTGGGTGTGATAGGGGGATGGTGGGTTGAGAGTGGGTGATAAAGAGATGGGAGGGTGGTTTGAGGGTGATTGGCGTCAATCACAGCGGAGGTGAAGGGGATGCTTGTTGGGATGGCGGAAGCGAGGAAGAGGGTGAGTGACTTGAATAAGAGGGTGGGGTTGAGGGTAGGGTGGGGTTGAGGGTAGGGTGGGGTTGAGGGTAGGAGCATAACAGGGCGCAGTGTTTTGGTGATTGAGTTTAGCAGGACTGCCCCTTGTCTCACCATGTCCCTTCTCCCTTGCCCCGTCAACTCACGGCAAAACCTGTTTTGTTTCCTCTTTCCCCTTTTCCCTCCCCCCCCCCCCCCCTCTTCCTCATTGCCCTTACCGTTTGCGACGTGATACCGGCTGGCTGGACGAGGCAGCAGGTGCAGCAAGCAGTGAGGGCTCTCGAGCGCAGCCTTTCACTGCTTCTTCCCCTTTCCACTCCCCTCCCCCCCGCCGCCCTATGCCCATGCCCCATGCCCCATGCCCCATGCCCATGGCAGCGCGATACCAGCTTGCAAGGGGAGGAGGCATGGGCGAGGCAGCAGGTGCAGCAGGCAGTGAGAGCTTTGGAGCATATCTGCAACGACGGCAGCTGTGCCTCCTCCACCTCCACCTCTGCTTCTGCTCCCGTTCCTCAATGCCTCTTGCCCCGTTTCATCCCTCTCCCGTTCCCCGCCGCTGCTTTCCTTCCCATGGCAGCGCGACACTGGCTTGCAAGGGGAGGAGGCGTGGGCGAGGCAGCAGGTGCAGCAGGCAGTGAGAGCTTTGGAGCATATCTGCAACGACGGCAGCTGTGCCTCCTCCACCTCTGCCTCTGCTTCTGCCTCGGTCTCCTCTCCCCCTCCCGCTGCTCCCCCTTGTGCTGCTGCCGCCTCTGCTTCCCCCTCTGAGCCCCCCGCTGACCCGTCCTCTGCCTCTGCTGTCGAGAATGAGGGGGCGAGGGTGGGAACGGGGGTTGGGGGGGATGGGGCAGAGGAAGGGGGAGGAGGTGGAGGAATGGCGGTAGCAGCGGAAGGTGCGGAAGGGGAGGAAGCAGAGGGGCGAAATCTCGATAGCTCTGCTGCTGCGGCTATGGCAGAGACTACAGAATCTCAAAGTCAAGCAGGTCAAACGGATCGATCAGGTCAATCAAGTCAACCAGGCCAATCGGGACCGCACACTCTCTCCCCTGCTACCACCCTCGCGCCTACCCTCTCCTCCCTTTCCTCCGCCTCCCACTACCTCGGCGGCAGCGGCACTCTCTCTACCTTCTCCTCCTCTTCCTCCTCCCTCCTCTCTGTGCGCCCCATGTCCCCCCCAACACCCGCCACACCCGCCGCCCCCCCCACCCCCTGCGGACTCCCCAAGTGCCGCCCGGTCGAGGTGCTGATTCGGCACTTTGCTAAGTGCGGTGTGAAGGTGTCGGGAGGGTGCGGGAGCTGCAAGGTGGTGTGGCAGCTGTTGGAGCAGCACTCGAGCGCGTGTGAGAAGCACAAGGGATGCCGTGTCCCTCTGTGCAGGTAATAGAGTAATGCCAGTCATGCCAGTCATGCCAGTCATGCCAGTCATGCCAGTCATGCCAGTCATGCCAGTCATGCCAGTCATGCCAGTCATGCCAGTCATGCCAGTCATGCCTGCCATGCCTGCCATGCCTGCCATTGTTGCCATACAAGGAACCTGCCTGTACGTGTCTCTGCTGGTCTTCTGCACTTGTTCCACGTGCACTGCTGCTGTGCACCTTCCCTTGTCCTCCGCTGCTCTCTAAGATGTGAATGGTGCCTTGAGTTGACCTGCTCTTCCCCTAAGCCCATCCCTGCTTCCACTGCACTATATATTTCTTCTGGCCCTGGATGCCTCCTTGCTGCCACAGGCAATTCAAGAGCAAGCAGCAGCAGGAGCAGGGCAGTGGGGGGCCTGCTGCAGGCAAGGAGAAGCTGAGTGCAGCAGAGCATGCAGAGCAAGTCACAGCACTGGCCAAGGCTCTCTTGGCTTTAGAAAATGCCGAGTCATTCTAAGGCGGGTATTGGGCCAAGCAACCCTTGCTGCTCGCACGCGAGGAGAAGTGAGTGCAGGAGAGAAGGCAGAGCAAGTCATCTCGCTAGTCAAGGCTCTCTTGACTCCTCTAGAGAATGCCAAGTCGTTCTAAGACTGATATTGCCAGTGAACCCAAGTCAATGTACCTACTACTGCTGTTGGGACTCGTTTTGAGACTTTCCTGCTTGCAGGCAAGGAGGCATTTCCAGCAGCAGAACTAGCAGAGCAAGTGGCAGCACTAGCTAAGCCTCTAATGGCTGTAAAGAATGTGAAGTCAGCTAGAAGTTGTGGAGTTTTGTATAGGGGGATATAGGAAATTCATATTGCCTCGCAAGAGGGCTTCGTCTGGTCTGGATCCTCTCAGCTTCATCCAGTGACTTGTTTCTACCGGTGGCTTAGGATAGGTATGTTAGACCATGCTAACACCACCCACACCATCACATTCCATCCTTGCGTATCGCTGCTTGTGCAGTGTGTTGACTTGAAGCGAGGGTTGAATTGAACCGAGGGTTGAATTGAACCGTGGGTTGAATTGAACCGAGGGTTGAATTGAACCGAGGGTTGAATTGAACCGAGGGTTGAATTGAACCGAGGGTTGAATTGAACCGAGGGTTGAATTGAACCGAGGGTTGAATTGAACTGAGGGTTGAATTGAACCGAGGGTTGAATTGAACCGAGGGTTGAATTGAACCGAATTGAACCGTGGGCCGCGGCCTTTCCTGACAGCCACGTGTTTAGAGTGCATCAGACTTCCTAACAGTAGCTAGAGGAGAAGAGGGGAGGAGAGGATACAGGTGCGGTAATTGCATGAATGTAAGGTTTGCTTGAAACCTTCCAGCCAACTTGCTTTACCGCCCTGTACTGCTTCGGCAAAAGTGTAACAGTCTGCACGTAGGGAACACCGTAGCAGACTTCATGTTTTGGCTGCTCATATGTTTTGCAACCGCCAACTCTCACATGTATTTACAAGTGCACAACACTACCCTATTCAAGACTGTTTACTACAGGATAGGAGCACCTGAAAGCAAGCAGGTGACATGTAGAGCTTACTGCCCTATTGCATGCACGACTCAGCACTTCAACCCTCAATTGCACTGCATTGAACAGCACCACACCACACCGCACCACAGCTTGAGTGTCTCCGCCAGTGGCCGTCTGGTGCGGGCCAGAGCCACAGCAGTGCGCAAACAGGGCTCTCTCCCCAACGCCTAGCTGGTCAAAGTCTATGCCATTCTTACCGCACTGAATCGCACGTCACAGAACCGAACCTTGAGCTTGGGAATCTCTGCCATAGTTTGCCTGGTGCGAGCCAGAGCCACAGCAGTGCGGGAGCAGGGCTCTCGCCCCAACGCCTGGCTGATAAACGCCGATGCGTCGAGCAGCTTGTCAAAGTCTATGCTCTCCTCCTACTGCACTGACCGCACCGAACTGCACCACACCGCACCGCATTAAAAAGCATCACAGTTTAGGTGACTCTGCCAGTGTTTGCCTGGTGCGGGCGAGGGCCACAGCAGTGCGAGAGCAGGGCTCTCTCCCCAACGCCTGGCTGATGAACGCCGATGCCTCGAGCAGCTTGTCAAAGTCTATGCCCGTGTGAATGCCCAGCCCATGCAGCAGATACACCACGTCCTCTGTCACCACGTTGCCTGATGCCCCCTTGGCGTAGGGGCACCCGCCAAGACCAGCTATAGAGGAATCCACCACTGATACTCCCATCTGAGGGGAGGGCAGAGGCAAGCACATGAGGTCAGCACCCTCAGCAACAGCCGCCCAGCCCTGCTATTGAAGAATCGACCACTGACACGCCCATCTGTGTGTGGTGGGTGGGTGGGAGGGGAGGGGAGGGGAGGGGAGGGGAGGGGAGGGGAGGGGAGGGGAGGGGAGGGTGGCAGCAGGCAAGCACATGAGCTGGTAGCCCCAGTGAGGAAGCAAACACACGCGCTCATGACCCCCAGCAACAGCAACCCCCCATGCAGCAGATACACCACGCCCTCTGTTGCCACGTTGCCTGATGCCCCCTTGGCGTAGGCAAAACAGCCCCAGGCAGCTACTGATGAGTCCTCGACTGATACTCCCATCTGTGTGTGGTGGGAGTGGGAGTGGGGAGGGAGAAGGGCAACAAACACGAGGGCAACAAACACGAGGGCACCAAACACGAGGGCAACAAACACGAGGGCACCAGCACGAGCATTCACAGGCGCTAGCCACCTCACCTGCAGGGCCACGAGAATGTTTGCGAGAGTGAATCTGTTTTTTTTTCAGAATTCTAAAAAAACAGATTCAGGCCACAAGGATGTCGGCGAGCGCCTGGCCGTAGGTGTCGTGGAAGTTGAGGGCGAGAGTGGTGAGTGGAATGAGCAAGGTATCATAACAAGCATGCAAGGAAACACTTACCTGCAGAGCAACGAGGATGTTGGCGAGGGCCTTCCCGTAGGTGTCGTGGAAATGCACAGCGAGGGAGGCGGGCGGCACGCATGCACACACGGCGTCCAGCATGGGCGCCACTGAGCCTGGTGGTTCGGTGGGGAAATGGGGGAAGCACGAAACAGAGAGGTTAGCTGGTTGGGTCTGCATGCGCCCAGATGCACGAATGCAGCGACGGACGAGGGCAGCACACACGGCGTCCAGCATGGGCGCCACTGAGCCTGGTGGTTCAGTGGGGGTTGGGACGAGGCAGGAGGAACACACGGCAATGGAGGAGTGAGAGAGAGGAGGGCGGCACACATGCACACACGGCGCCCAGCATGGGCGACAATGAGCCTGGTGGGGTGGGTTAGTGGGCCGTAGGGGAGGAGAGCAGCGACTGCTTGGTTGGGATGGGGAGTGCACGGGCATTGTGAGCATGCACACACAGCAGGCAGCATGAGCACCACTGCTGTCACCGGTCCGACCGCAAAGCACTGCTTTGAAGCTCACCGGGAGTGCTGACACCCATGGTGTTCCCCAGAGACACCTCATAGCATCCCATGTCGTGCAGAGCCTTGGCCACCCTCGCCACTGCTGCCGGCTCTGTGCGGCCTTTACGGCACCTCACAGCACCGCACTGCACCACACTGGCCTGCACAGTGCCGCACTGCACCACATTGCACCGATTTGAATCTCACCAGGAGTGCCGACGCCGATGGTGTCCCCCAGAGACACCTCGTAGCACCCCATGTTGTGCAGAGCCTTGGCCACCCTCGCCTCTGCTGCTGGGGCTATGTAACCTTCGTTGCACCTCCCAGAACCTCGCAGCACTGCACAGCACTCCACAGCACCATACTACACCGCACTGCACCGCTTTGAACCTCACCCGGAGTGCCGACGCCGATGGTGTCCCCCAGAGACACCTCATAGCATCCCATGTCGTGGAGAGCTTTTGCCACCCTCGCCACTGCTGCTGGCTCTATGTGGCCTTCGTAGGGGCAACCCACCGCACAGGACACGTACCTGCACGTGGGACAAGGGGCAGCGGGCAGGTGTAAGTGCGTGAAAGTGGGCATATAAGCTGGCAACTGATTCAACATTCAGATCTATGTGGCTTTCATAGGGGCACTCCACCCAGCGCACAAGATACATGGCGGAGGCACCAAAGAGAGAGGAAGCAGGAGCAGCTGAGAGAAGCAAAGTAACATGGCACACTCCCACAACCAGCCCCTTCAGCAGCCCTTGGGCAAGGAACAAGGAACCCCTGACACACACACACACACACACACACACACACACACACACACACACGCACGCACACACACGCACACACACACAAAGCGCGTCTCTTACACCTTCTGTTACCAATGCCATCATACCTCACTCTTGCTTACCCTCGCACAGGAATGCCTCTGTCCCTTGCAGCATCACAAACCGCTCTGTACCGCTCCAGACTCTCCTCCACTGAGCAATTAATATTCTTCTTGGAAAACGCCTCGGAAGCAGCAGCAAACACGGCCACCTCCTTGGCCCCGGCTGCCATGGCGTTCTCAAGGCCTCTCAGGTTGGGGGTGAGCACAGGCAGCTTGGTGCGGCCGTTGCTTTGCACTCTTTGCATCACCTCTGGTGCATCTGAGAGCTGCATGGAAGGGGCGTGGGCAGGGGGAAGGGGGATAAGGTTGGGGATAGGGGCGTTAGAACCGGTAGCTTGGTGCGGCGGTTGCTCTGCACTCGCTGCATCACCTCTGGTGCATCTGAGAGCTGCAGGGACGAGGAAAGGGGAGGCGGAGAGGGTGAAGAAGGGGCTGGGGCCAGCAAACACTGCCACTTCTCTCAACCCGCCTGCTGTTATCTGAGAGCTGCAGAGATATAAGCAGCTGCACCTCTAGAAACCCTCACACCTGGGGAATCCATTTAGGGGACACGAGGCCACTGGTGGCCTCAACAACAGGCAGCCCGGCGACCATGAGGCAGTGAATGAGCTCCATCTTCACGCCCACCGCCAACTTGTACTCGTTATAGGCGGCTGCGTCACTAGAGACACGCACCTGAGGGATCCACTTGGGCGAGACGAAGCTGGTAGCCTCCACCACGGGCAGCCCAGCGGCCATGAGGCGGTGAATGAGCTCCACCTTCACGCCCACCGCCACCTGGTGTCATTTGTACTCGTTATAAGCAGCGGAATCACTAGCACTAGAAGCAACGCCCACCTGAGGGATCCACTTGGGCGAGACGAAGCTGGTAGCCTCCACAACAGGCAGCCCAGCGGCCATGAGGCGGTGGATGAGCTCCACCTTCACGCCCACCGCCACCTGCTGCTTCTCGTTCTGCAGCCCGTGAAACTCACCTGTACTCACTTTGAGCAGCTCCACCTTCAGAAACTCGCACCTGGGGAATCCATTTCGGGGAGACAAAGCTGGTAGCCTCCACAACAGGCAGCCCAGCGGCCATGAGGCGGTGAATGAGCTCCACCTTCACGCCCACCGCCACCTGCTGCTTCTCGTTCTGCAGCCCGTCCCGCGGCCCCACCTCCACCACCTTCACATACCGCGGCAGCCACTGCAGCGGGTCCGAC